GATCTGCTTGCCATTCTCAGCGTCGTATTTCAAGTTGTTGCTGTCACATTTATTGCTTCGCCCTTGTGGTGAAACTGTAACTTTTAAAATTTTTTACGTGTTTACTGCATTTAACCTACCGCTGCGTGCCCTCGAAGCTCGTAGATCGCTATCGCATCGCCGCGACCGCGGTTTTGTGCACGGCGGTTGTGACAAACGGCAGTTCATTTTACAGTCCCCATGCGCTAGGCTGTGCACGCATTTTCAAAACTAAGTCGTTTTATGCCATCTACGATAGCATCTGCCGCAGGTTTGTATGCGGAGCTTGCAGAAAGCAGCGTTGCTTTGACTGGTTGAGTGCGCACTTTTGGGGTTCTCTCAGTTACATCGTCGCCATACATGATTGTATCAAAAGCGACTGCGGTTTCGTCCTCAGTGGTTGTGACAACGACAATCACGCGCACTGTAGTGCGCTGGTGGCGTGCGTACTTCCAAAGCTTCGAGTACGCTGCTCTCGGTCTTCTTTCGACGGTTTCCGTACTAAAGTTCGTATCACCCGCCGCGATTAGGAAACGTGTTCGGAACATTCGAATTGAGGCCCGATGAACATAATAAAATTTGGCTGGGAAATTTACGAATTCGTATCTGCCGTGGTTTCGCATCACTGAGATTATACTGTGATTTCGCATCACTGAGCATCACTGAGATTGGAACGCCTCTTAAACTCATTTATAGTAAAATGGGGTATGTTGGAAAAGCCTGGAGCAGATTTAGCTGCTTCTTTATCAATGTGGCCAGATCAGGCACAGAAATTTCGATTTCCGGGAGATTTTCATGTCAATCGTACAACCGGAAAAAACGGCCTAAATCCGGAAGTCTCCCGGCCGATTTGGGACACTTGGCAGGTATACATCTAGCAACGGGCGAAGGGTGGGGTGAGCGAGCTGAGGTGGCCGAGGAGGGTCGGCATAATAATAAAAAATGGGAGATCCAACGGGTAAGGAGGCACCAAGTGTCGGTTAGCGGAACTGCAGCAGATGAGTGTTGGTGTTGCGGGTGCGGGAAAAAAAATAAAAATTTCAACGACTGAAGTTGGAGGTGCGTTTATTATGTGAGTGCGTTCATTAGGCGAGTAAATATCGTATTATAAGAAAACCGGATGCATTTGCCCTAAACTTACTAACCAGCACAATGAATGAATAAACTTTATTTAATGTCCGGCAGTTTTCACCGGGCAAGGTGAGGGAAGAGATTAACCCCTGTTCCTTCCCACCCTCCGTCCATTATGATGGCGGTGCCTCACGTGACCGCTCGAAGTCCTTGGACTGGGGCGGCATCTTCAGCTTGCCGGACGGCCCAAAGCTGGTCGGTCAGCTCGTCGCTGGTGAGTGTGGCCTCCCAGCCGATCCGCAACACTGACCGCAGCCGTGACAGAGGCCGGCCCCTGCCCTCGTGCGGTGGTAGCAGCAGCAATTGCAATTGACCTCAAAGTTTGTCCCTGCCTACATGCGTGGCAAAGGGAGCGGCGGCAGTGAAATTAACTTTTCTGGCGCACTCCCAAAGCATGTGCCGCAGTGTGGCCCTTTCCCCGCACGCTTTGTACACGTCCGTCGGGTATAGGTGTGGATAACACATGTGTAGGATCGCCTGGCTGGGGTACGTATTTGTCTATAATAACCTCAGAGTTACGGCTGGTCTTTTGTTCAATTTGTTGTTTGGTGGTGGGCATTTGCATCTGTTTAGTCTGTAATGTTGCGTAATGTAGTTGAAAAAGGTCAGGCAATCACCCCACGGCCATTCCGATTGTTGCTGTTGGATGGATAATGTGATCGCCCCGCTCTCGGAAGTGAAGGTGGCCATCATATCGGCCGCAGCTCAGTGAGTGAGATCACTTTTTTTTTAAATTTGAAGCAAGGCCTGTGAAAATGCCATTTTTTTGCTTCAAGGGAAGTGTTAACAACTTTGAATTGTAGCAGGATTTGAATTTTGGTAGAATGTCAATGGTAACTGTAAAATATTTCATGTTTTAAAACTTTACAATATCTTGAGCATATAAGTTGGTATAACAAGCATTTTAAACTAAAAATGAAACTGTAGAAAACGTGTTTGCATTGAATTTTGGGGAAAATTATTCAACTTTGTTATATCTAGCTTTAACTGTATAACTAAAGTTGACTGTACCTCGTTTTTAAAGGGGCCCTGCAACACTTTTTAAGCATGGTCAGAAAACGCTCCGATCGATAGTATAGGCTCCCGCCAACACGCGAGCCAAATACTAAAGTGCAGCACACGGCATGGAATTCACAATACCGTATTTACTCGATTCTACCGCGCCCTCGATTGTAACGCGCACCCGATTTCCACTGCGAAAAAAAAAAAAAAACGTAAGACATCGATTGCAACGCGCACCCATTTTTTTTTGCTGTCTCGCACGATCACACCACTCGAAAAAACGATTCCTTTCGGGATTGTCTTCCATTTAAATATGAGGTACGGGCGAAGCTTGTGCCCATCTGACGTGTAACAGAGCATTGCCGTCACTGTAGTTTTACCGTGGACCGATGTCAGCACGCGAACTTGCTTCGCCCCCTTCTTCTGGACAGTTGTGGTGCCAGACATGTCGAAATAAAGAGGCATCTGATCGGCATTCCAGATTTGCCCAAGCAGGTAGCCGTTGTTGCGCCGCAAGTTTAGGACGAACCTCTGAAAACTGTAAAGCTTTTCATCGTACTTCTCCGCAAAAGTTTTCGCATATGCATGTTCCCCTTCGGAGGGAAGAGCCTTTCCTCTTCATATAGTTAATTAGCCAGCACCTGCTCACTTTAAACAAGCTCCGCATTAGACTTTTTTCTAAGACTAATTGCATAGCCCGCACTTGGAGCAGTTCTGTCGTCATGGGTTGCTGTGCCACTCGCTCCTCAAGCACATACTCGCGGAGCAGCTCTTCAATTTGCGGAAACCGACCCTGCTGTGGTTCACTGAAGCCTTTGCGTGAAGCTTTGCTGTCGACAATCTTCTGCTTTTGTTTCCGCCGGTCCCGCACGCACGTTTCGAGAAGGACCGCGATGCGGCCCGATTTCCGTCCGTTTCTGCACACGCGATGACTTTTCTTTTAAAAGCGGCATCATGGTGCACTCGAGTTTTTGAAGTCGGCCCTTCCAAGTCGTCGATGCTAATGCACTACTAGATGACGAACTCCTCAGCACACGTACGAAGTGCCGCACATGGTAAACACATAGGCAGAAATAGCCGACGCACCATGCCGACGCACGTAGGGGGCGGCCATTTTGGATTTGCGATGGCAATAGATTGACCGTAATTTTTTTGTTCGTACTCGATTCTAACGCGCATGCGATTTATGAACTCGCTTAACCGGAAAAAAGGTGCGCGTTAGATTCGAGTAATTACGGTAAGTTATCAATGTCAACTAAAAATTGTTTTCTCCTCTCTCGACAAATGACGACGTTCAAAAGCACTCATAGAAAGCTATCTATCCACCATTGGCCGATTTTAACATGGCGCACTCAGTTGTCACAGAGAACACTGCAGAAGGCCGTCACTTGAACACGTGTGCGCACGCGATCACACTGAAAAAGCCGCACATTCAAAGAAAAAAGTGCTCAAGGTCACGAGGTGCGAGTGACGTATTTTCTTTGCCCCTGCCACACCTCTCTGGTTTTTTTCAGCTCTTTTGTTTGGACGAGAGAAGAGAGGAATAATTTGCAGCATGCAGCAAATCTTGGTAACTCCACTTGCACTGGAGAGATTCTTAAAATTTTTGTGGTGTTGAATTCGTGAGGCAATAAGCTCTACCAGTCAATTCATTCCGTGGTTACTTGAAAAAGTATTTCAGGGCCCCTTTAAGAACCCCTAAACCACCCAGACGTTGAAATTTAGGGGCAGCATTACGGTTGCGCACAAGCCTTCAATAAACATGGAGCCATGGAAATTTTTCCTGGCAGAGCCGGGAGTTACATGCATTCAGTGATCAACTATCTGATGATCCAACCATCCAACTATCTGTTCATTGGCTTACCTCTCCTCCAGGGAAAGTGCTCCCCTAAAGAAAAGACGCATCGAAAATAACGTTTTTATTTCTAGTCATAGACACCTGAAAATTTTGAAAATTTCGACACCGTTTCTCTCGATACATGAGGCGAGTTCTGAACTTTCGATTATCTAGGCTGTGCTTCTCGGGGCTTGCCATTACGCAAAACTGCAGAGAAACACCGAACAACTCGATTGCGATGCCCGAGGCTTCGCTCTTTTGCCGGGAGGATAGAGGGGGGAGGATAGAAGGGGGAGGAGGCAGGGCGCACCGCCCACCATTGACGGCCTCACGCTGCTTGCCGCGATATTCAAAATGCGTAACATATATGTTCTTTTTCTTGTGTTTGGTTCATTGTTTGTGGAGATACGAGACTGGCTACTAGTGGATTGTGAAGGGGAAGGCCTTCGCAGAACGTGCCTGAATGCAAATGGCGGCCAACGCGTGGTTTTCGCGACAAGACAATGCGAACTGTGCAATTTTTGGTTACTTTTGCGCATTTTTAACCTCATTGCTCCCTACTTGAAAGCATTTTTAGATCATTTCTCGTGCGAATTTCAGCTTGATACTTTCAGAAGTAAAAAATTATAGTCCAAAGATGCCAATACAACCGGGAAAAAAAAGCGAAAATTTTCCGGAAAACCGCGACATTTCAACCCGCGTTTCCCCTTAACGTGCAAGGAAAAATAGCTGGGAGCCTGTGTATCTTCAAGCATGCAAACAGCTTTCTTATGTGGATCATCCATAGACTCAAATGCTAATGCCATGGCTGGAGATCACTGAGAGGACCGAAAAGTACAAGGGATTGCATCTTGAAGTTTGTGGTACAATCACCGGTGGTACAGCTGCCATGTTTGGCACGGCTGATCATTCAGAGCTCGATGTGCACGCTTGCTTGAAATGCTTAAAAATTACCAACAGTGGTTGCGAGACCCTTCAATTAAAGCTCAAGCCAGCACCATGAACCACTCACCCTCAGGAGGTGGAGCCGCTGCAGTCGGTGCCACAGTGGCGAGGCGGGCCGCCTGGGTAATGGGCCGGATGCTAGCAGTAGGGGTAAGCCGTGCCCCGCAGGGTCCCGGGCGCTGCAGCACGGCTGCGCTCTGTGCTGGCGGCGTCAGCGGCCGCACGTTGGCCGTGACCGGCTCAGTGGGTGTGCCGCTCCCATGGCCGCTGACCCCATGATTATATGCATGATTTACTCTAAAACGGTGGTGCGCAAAACAATGACACACAAAAAAAAAAAGATAAACATGAACACAGCACAGCTTTATCATTTTTCGGAACTACTGTTCTAAAAAGAATTAACAATCCACCTAGTAGTCCATCCTAATGAAATGATTTACTCTCAGGGTGCTTCGCACAAAATAGATTCCCCCGGTGCGAGAATCACACCTACTGCGTTCCTTCTTTTTTTGTGAGTACTTCCATGGAAAACACATCAAAGCAGAGCTTATATGATGCAGCCTTTAGCACTGTATCAGTTGAAGTAGTGCAGCCTCCTGTTTGTCTACGCACTGCTAGTGACACTCAAACAAGCAAAGCCTCCGGTATCTTTGTCAAGAGAACATATTAATAGACCAGTAAATGAAACTTTCTCAATAGTGAAGTTGTACAAGAATAGTGGGTATTGTACAACGCAACCATACTGAAATTGTGAAAGTCGGAACTCACAAATTCGACTAATGGGTTCACGAATAAACGTATAATAGAATAGTAGATGAGAGGCAGTGAAATACAAAAACATGACGTAGTCAACTTACCTTGTCCTCTCCACAGGTGCAGTTACCATGGTAGGTTTAGTCTGCTTCTGCTGCTGTTGATTGAGCTGCATCATTTTTTTTGTCAGGAAATATATCAGCCTCAACTACATTGTGTATACACAAGCACACGAGTTAGCATGAGCCAAGCGTGGCATGCTGACACAACTAACAGCACTGTCCCGAAGCCTTTCAGGTTTTAACTATCTACACAGTAGCATAGTGCTTCAGTATCAAAGCACTAAAGTTGCTTTATGCTTGGCAATGACAACACTGTGAAAACATTGTAGAACATGCCACATGCTTTTCCTTGCGTTATTTGCATTTCATTCTAATAGAAAGCACCGAAAAGAACACAGGTTTTATTAGACTTGTGCAAATACTTGAGCATTTCGAATATTCAACCCAATGTTACTGTGTTCAAATTCGCTTCGAAATGAATTTAGATTACCCTAAATTTCATATATTCGAGATGAACAAATAAACAGATACATGCGGATTAATATACGTTCAAATAATATTAGTTCATTTCGAATGCTTCAAAAGTTTTAATAATTTATATATGAATCGAAGTGAATTCGAACACTGTGATATTCATTTGAATATTTGCACAAGCCTAGTCATGAGAAAGATTAACTGCCATCCACCTATTTGGAACACCAGGTTTCAAAGAGAGCAAAACACCCCTGCAGGGTGTAGGTGCACGGTTGAAGTCCTGAGATACTTTTTCTTTCCGAGAAATCCTTATGAATTTCTTATTAACCTTGTGCTACAAACTGGAGGACAGTAATTGTCTCTCTTATAAAACAGCTTCGGCAATCAGTCACTGTCCCATGCCTTGAATTCCACTTGAATAGCATACGTACTTTGAAGTCTGACATGAAAGTGGTTTTGATATGTATGAAAACTTGTTATAAACGAATGTTATAGACCCCCCCCCCCCCTCCAAAAAAAAAGTTTGTGTGGGGGCTCACCTTTTGGGTGAGTTCATCCACCTGTCGCTGAGCCCTGTCGAGGGCCTCACGTGTGTCGCGCATCTCCTTCTCCTGGCGCAGCAGCCGACCCTCAAACTGCGACCGCAGGCTGCTCTCCCGCAACGCACTCTCTTCTGCAGACACGGAAGAAAGCCCCATGAGACCCTTTATCCTTTTATTTCACATACAATCTCTGGTCCAATGATTCTTGTGATGCAGTGGCAGATATCAGAATCGTAAAGTGTTGGTCTAGTAGTTGCTGTAATGTTTGCGGAAAACAGGGCACTGAAGTGGTACAGAAAGAAGCAAGGGCACCAACAATTGAAACACACAATTATTTACACTATCCAACTCTTCTTTACAGCAGTGGGTAATATTTGCCTGCTTGAATCAGAACGAGAATAAAGCAGTAAGAGTGATACTGTTCTAAAGGGTTAAAGGGCCACTCACCAGGTTTGACGATTTTGAGCTGACAAGCGCAATGCGTAGACGAGGCGTTCATGATCACGTCTGCCAAAATTTGCAACGCTACGCGCCGCGGAAATGGGTCAAATTTCAAAATCAAAGCTGCTCCCCCTCCCCTCTGCCGGTGCACGAGTAGAGAATGAGGGCATGACGTGGGCGCAGGAATGGCATTACATGCACGGTAATGCACTGACCTTGGTCCTCTACATCGACGAGTCTACTCTGGCGTTGTCAACAGTACACCACATGACATGGTGAAAATTATTTAAGACAACATGCGTAGTTTATTTATTTGTTGCTTTAAGAGATTAATAAAACTTAATATAATTAATGAGACGCAATAAAGAATTGTGCCCGTTTTTCTTTCATTTTTTTCGTGAAATGCTACGAGATGCGGGGCTAATGTGCCAGCGTTTTGCATGCATTAGTTTCCCCACAGTCAGCGCATTGAGCAGATGACCACCGTGGAACGCTCCTACGCATTCGCACACTCATTGTGCTTATCTACTCTACCGTGTCTAAGCCAGTGTTTTTAAACCATCCTGCAGAAACAGGCAAAAGACCACAAAATAACGCTAGTCAACAAAGCAACACCACTTGCGTGCACGGGGGCTCGGCTTGTTTGAGCACATCATGCGCACATCACCTCTTGGTCGGATGCCGGAGAGGGTGGGGAAGAGATTTGGCTTGCGAAAGCTACGCAAAGGAGCGGCAAGGGTTTGGAACTCGCCTCCTCCCATCCTCCTTTCACGCCGCTTCAAAAAACACGTTTTCTCCGCTCGTGATGAACCGATTAGAAAAATTTTTGTGACAAAATGTTCCCCATCGGACACCCAACAACTTCCACTGTCTAACTAAAATTCCGTATGGGGCCTGGTGAGTGGCCCTTTAAAGAAAGTGTGAATTCAAATACACACAATTATGCAATAAGTGCAACAGGTGGCTCACGTTTTAGCTGCTCCATGGAGGCGATGCGCTGGTTGAGACCCTCGAGGTTCTGCTTCAGGGTCTGGTTCTCCTTGGTCAGGGCTTCATTTTTGGCTACGTCACGAGACCCCGAGTCAGCAAAAGTCAAGTGAACGATGACACCGCAACTTTTCTTCCCAAAGCCACCCGTAGAAGTGACAGGATGAGTGACAGAATCAACAGGGTCATTATGTCATGCAATAAACTGTACAGAAGCTAAGCAGTGAATCCTGCCGGTGTTTCACAGACCATAACAACAATGTGATTATGCACCCCTCAAAAGCCTTTGTACACAAACAAACTGTGGATAGGGAGTTGAAAGAAAACTAGTAAGGGAAAGGGAAGAGAGATAAGCAAGAGAACTGTAGTTTCAGCACTGCACACATACTGTTGAAGTCGGCGATGCGCTTGCGTGCCTGCACGATGAGTCCCTTCGCCTGACTGGCCGCACTGTTCGCCTGCTCCTTCTCGGCGGCAAGCTGCACACTTTCCTGCACAGCACGCATGTGCGCCCGCAAGTGATTCCTTTTTTCACCAGATATGTCGAGTGAATCACTACAATCGTAATAGCCTTGCGTGACAGTCAACTTCTATCCTTCATTTTTTATGCTACGAACATCTTACAGAAAGGCAAGACAACATCCCGCCTGGGTAACATTCTCCCGGCTCAGCTTCCAGTGCTTTAGTTTGGACGATAAAAGGGAGACTGCACTTGCAGCGTGCGACAAATCTTTGTAACTCCGCTTATACTGGATGGATTAGAAATAATTTTGCGGTGCTGAACTTGTGGGGCAACAAGCTCATACAGTGAATCCATTCCATGACTACTTGAAAAAGGGTTTAAGGACCCCATGTGAAGGATGCAAGTGTCTCCTTTAAAATTTGACACTGACTGCATGCAAGCTAAAGCAAGCAAATAGTATGACCTTAGTATTCTAAGAATTCTCACATTTTTTTCTCCATTAGGATGTTTTAATATGCACATTTTTTAGAGTTATTTGCATTCTACTGTTATTGAGAAGCAATATAAGCCCTTGACGGCTCAGAACCATAAACATTTATAGGCATAAGAAGTTTTCCGAAAACGAACTATATTTTACATAGTCATGGCGCAAAATGAAAACTCTGCAACTCACTATAAAACTGACTAGATATTTGTGTGGGGGTGCTGACACCCCCCCTGTAAAGTTGTCTGCGCCGCGTGGCGCACGTGTCTCGCCCCAGGGCGTTATTTCGGTGGTGACCACCACCGGGCGATAGATGGCGTTGTGTTCGCTCTGAGTACCACTGTTGGTAGAGTGGCAGCGCCGGTGGTGGCCCCTGGCGGAAGGCGGGCCTTGGTGGTGGGCGAGCGTTGAGCGAGCTCTTCTGCGCGTGGCGGCTGCTGCGAACGGTTGTCTGTGGCGCGGGTCCCCGGTGCTCGGCACCGCGGGCTTCGCGCCGGGGTCCCGCGTGTAAAGTCAGGCGTTGGCGACGCCGCCTTGGGTATGTGCTAGTGTGTGTTTATCATGTTATTGTGTGTTTAGTGCGTCCCTGCATTATGTTGTTTGTATGGTTTAGTGTTAATTGAAATTGTTGTATCATTCGGCGGACGATATCGTCGTCTAAATTAGTTAATAAATCTATGTATGTTGTGTACCTTGTACCGACCGCGTCGACTGTGTCCGTTCACTCCAAGAGCGTGGCGTGGCGATGCGCGCGTTCGCCACGGCGAGACCCCACACTGGCTGCCCAACGTGGAGCTCTTGGAGTGTCGGACGACGGTTCTTGCGGTTCGGTACAGGGATTTTGTTAGAGCCGGAGTAGAGTAGGCCTAGGGGGGACTTCTTTGCTAGCGTCGGTGATGTGCTTTGTTGAGAAGCGAGGGGATTGGTTTTGTAACGTGTTTCAATTTGTCGGCAGGTTGACGTTCTTTTTTTTTTTTTTGCTCGCAAGTGTTCTTATTTTTTTGTTGTTAGTTTTCAAAAACGTTGTTGAATTAGGACGAGAGCCATGCGGTCCGCATCCTGGGGTGAGCAAGGCCTAGAGCACGTGGTTTGTAGGCCAGGCCCGAAGCGAGTGAGTACGGAAGCCTCGTGGGTGGTCCGATTTTCTGTAAATAGCTTCTTCTATCTCTTTGGGCTCTGGGAGCCGGGCGTCGTTGCTGACTTGTATTGCGGCTCAACGCCGGGGCGTCGTGACACCGCCCGGGGCGGTGGACGCCGATCGCTCGGTAAGCTGCTGTGTGCGGCGAGCGATAGGGCCACCTCACAGAGTGGACGTCTCCTCGCGGCTGCCTCTTCTGCGCCTAGGCTGGGTGCTGGGTGGATGCCGGTTGTTGCCGAGCGACTCATTAGGCCTAATGTAGGCCAGGCCCGAGCGAGTGAGTACGGAAGCTCGTTTGTGGTCCGTTTTCTGTAAATGCTTTCTTCTATCTCTTGGGCTATGGACCGGGCGCGTTGCTAGACGTTGTATTGCGGCTCAACGCCGGGGCGGTCGTGACCCGCACGGGGCGGTGGACCCGATCGCTCGGTAAGCTGCTGTGGCGGCGAGCGGATAGGGCCACCTCACAGAGTGGCGTCCTCCTCGCGGCTGCCTCTGTCTGCGCCTAGGCTGGGGTGCTGGGTGGATGCCGGTTGTTGCCGAGCGACTCATTAGGCCTAAGGCTCTGCGCAGCCGCCTGTCGCACGTGGCACAACTAGGTGGATCGTAGCGTTGAGGTGTTGCGCTCTGCTTCCCTCACTTTTTTTTCTTGTGAGCACGAGTTAGGAAAAGTGATTTTTGTTTTTATTTTGATGGGCGTCTCGGCCCCCACCGATGTATTAGCTAGCAGTACTAACCACCGTACCACGTGGCCGAAAAGCCCGAAGCTCCCTCCCCTGGGCCGCGCTCCTTTGTTTCTTTCGAGTTTTGTTTTTTGTTGATGTATTCAGCGGGAGGGATGTCATCCACGGCCGGCTGTCCTGCGCATCGTCAGCGTCGCTGGCCAGGAATGCGGTCGTGAGTTCGGGCGATGAAGATGCCTGGGACCTGCGCAACTGCCTGCAGTCCGGCGCCCTCGTGAGTGCTGGTCGCAACTGGAAGACGTGTCGGCGCTAGCGGCGGATCGTCGCGCCGACGGCAACGTTGCTGTTGCGGGGCCGGTACTGAGGTGAAGTCTAGCCGGAGAGTGCAGCAGTGTCGACCAGCGGCGGTGTCGTGGTGCAAGGACATTATGGTCGTGCGATATCATTTTTTTGTTAAAGCTTGTGTAGCTAATTTATGATTTCGGGATATGGTTTGATTTAAGGTTGGGGGAATGTGGGGGTGCTGACACCCCCCCTGTAAAGTTGTCTGCGCCGCGTGGCGCACGTGTCTCGCCCCAGGGCGTTATTTCGGTGGTGACCACCACCGGGCGATAGATGGCGTTGTGTTCGCTCTGAGTACCACTGTTGGTAGAGTGGCAGCGCCGGTGGTGGCCCCTGGCGGAAGGCGGGCCTTGGTGGTGGGCGAGCGTTGAGCGAGCTCTTCTGCGCGTGGCGGCTGCTGCGAACGGTTGTCTGTGGCGCGGGTCCCCGGTGCTCGGCACCGCGGGCTTCGCGCCGGAATCCCGCGTGTAAAGTCAGGCGTTGGCGACGCCGCCTTGGGTATGTGCTAGTGTGTGTTTATCATGTTATTGTGTGTTTAGTGCGTCCCTGCATTATGTTGTTTGTATGGTTTAGTGTTAATTGAAATTGTTGTATCATTCGGCGGACGATATCGTCGTCTAAATTAGTTAATAAATCTATGTATGTTGTGTACCTTGTACCGACCGCGTCGACTGTGTCCGTTCACTCCAAGAGCGTGGCGTGGCGATGCGCGCGTTCGCCACGGCGAGACCCCACATTTGAAATCAGCATAAAAGCTTATACATATATATAGTGCAAAAAAATTTCATTGCGCTAGCATACAAATTCAGCAAACTTGTTTTTCGAATTGAATCTCCCCTAAAGGAGGACATGGTGTGTGGAAATTTTTGCTGTAATTTATGTCCGAACCAGATAAAACTAAATATGCAGACTACAGTTGACTTTCGGCAAGTGGAAATCGGTAAAAAAAACGGAACAAGTGCTTCTGACAAGACTGGTTTCACTGTTGTACTCCTGTTACAGGGAACACCTTTCAAGTTCTATTTATTCAGAGCCTACTGTAGTTTAGTTTTTCATGTTAATTTCAAATATGCAATACTTCTTATTGTTTATGACATAAAGCAAGCTCCCTCTGTATAGCTTCTGGAGACAATACTACAAAGACTTTGCAGCAGAAAGTATATATTATGACATAGCTACATACAATATGCAATCAGTGCAACACTGCAAAGAGCTTTCAGATACATTCATAACTAGTTGTTCTGCAGGTGGTCGTAATTAAATGTTCGTACCGTGAGGAAACGAAATCAAATTTAGAGACAAATGAGAATTAAGCTCTCAGCCATTTTTGATGCACCACTTGGGCTTTTAAGTTGAAAAAAGAATTACAGCTCTAGCTGTTTTACATTATAAGAGATCTCTCAGACAAGCTGAAACCCAGAAACATTTAACATGCAGCTTGCACTTGTGACCTGATAAGACTTCTTTTACAAGCACTAGGATAGCTGTGAATTTCAATAATGCAATAATGAAAACCCTTCGGTCTTATGGGCCTAACCTATAAGACCGAAGCGCAGCCGACGACCACCTCCGCAAGAAATTGACCCGTTCATGCGTTCAGCAGTGTTCTCGAAAGCGTGGTCACCAGCCGTCCAGCTCATGACGTCAGTCTAGAGTGCGCACTCAATGGGGCAGGCTTATGAGCTTTTGAGGAGAAAATTGCAGCAGTATCCGACTATACAGTAGACTCTCAGTAAACATGTTAAATGTAACTGCTGCTAAAATAAAACCATTGCCTCTGATATAATTGATATTAAGCACCTTTGTTGATCTTTAGGTAAACAGAACTCCAGTTGACAACAACATTGGCAACAGTGAACTCAAACGTTCACCTTAGGGGAAAGCAACACAAAAAAAACAATAAACTGCTCACGGCCTTGGCCCGGTCCAGCTCCTGTGTGAGGCTGGTCTGGCGCTCCTGCAGCTGTCGCAAGCTGGCGTCTAGATCGGAGCGTGCCTGCGCCCCTGCGGTCTCCGCCTTCGCTTGCGCTTCTTCCAGCTCGGAGCAGCGCTTCTCCAGGGCCTCCTTGGAGGACTTGAACTCCTCAAACTGGCTGCGGTAGTGGCGCGCTATCTTCTTCACCTGCACGCAACAGTCGACAACAGCACACGCAATGCGGTTCTTGCTTCTATTTGATCAGGCTGCATGAACAATGATTACTGCATTACCATGTTGCACACACATGGCACAGCTTGTAGGGATGGGTGGACCGTAAATTTGAGATTTGAAAATAACTTCAAATGGAATCGTTCAATTGGTATACATCACACACATTATAAAGAAAATTTAGCATTTTTGTCTTGACCATCAAAATTGTACAATATCTTCGAGAATTAAAATAACTATGCTTGTGCGAATAGTAGATATTACGTTCGAAGCAAATTTGAAGCAAAAAGTGATTTCGGTCAAATATTTTCGAAATGAATTCAAATAGTATATATATCACATTTTATATTTATAAAATGGGCATATTTGTCATGAACTACCTGCAAAAAATGCCATTTTTTTTGCATAAAAGAAAGCAGATACAACTTTGAATGCGAGCAGAATTTGAGTTTCGATAAAATTCAAGTCATAGCCTGTAAAATATATTGCTTTTTAAAATTTGTTATAGTTGCAGCATATAGGCCAGTATAAAAAGCTTTTAAACGTAAAAAATGAATCGATGTGAGGGTAATATCCTCATTTAACCTCAAAGTAGGGCTTTGCAGCAGTGCAGATTTCTTTTGAACAGGTACTTTCATGGCTTAGCACCGATAAACTGTAGTGGAACCACATTTACAGGGTGTGACACATTGACTAATATGCATTTATTTGGTCATTTTGAATTATTTGAAATTTTCAATAATTTCGATTCATTTCGAAGTGAATTCGAATACTGCATTATTCGATTGAAAATTCAAAGCATTCAAACATTCGCACGAGCATAAAAACAAGGCATATGCGAACTTACCTTTTATGGCTCAAAATTCGTGGAAAATAGCACCAGGACTTGATTAGTTTAAAAAGAACGCAAACTATGAGTGGTAGAGCATGTTACGTTTTTATATTTACTGTGGGCAGTCCATGTAAGCCCTTATAACACTTATTGAAGCTTTGAACAAATATAACACTTACTGAAGCTTTGAACAAATAATGAAGCTACTTCCCGTGGATAGGTTGTTGGCAAAGAAGCCACACGCTGCAGTGAAACCACTTCAAGGAGGGGTTACATGAAGTTATGTCTGTCCGTTCACTTGAAAATTGTACATAATCTAAGTACATTTAAATACTGCAATATTCATTCGGCTCATGCCAAACTGACATCACTTTGACAATAAACTTGTACCTGAACGATTGTCTTCAGCTTTTCCTCCTTGTCCACACGGAGTGATTGAAGCTCTGTGGCTGCCTTCTCAGCCTCGGCCTTCAGCAGGTCTGCTTCTGCGCGGACGGCCTGGAGCTCCTTTTGAGTGTCCCTCTGCAGTGCAGCGATTTGCGACGACAGCTCAGAGTGTACTGCCTTGGCCTCCTCCGTCGCTGCGTTGAGACGCTGCTTGTAGTCCGCCACCTCATCCCGGTATGTCGCCAACTGCCGCTTGACAGCAACCAGCTCCTCGCCACGATTGTGCGCCTCCCTCTTCAGGTTGGTGTTTTCCTCCCTGGTCAAGAAAAATTTTTGCAGCTTGTAGTGAAAGAACAGCTCAACTTCGTGGTTTCTCTTTGTTTTTTTTTTGTCGATCTCTTTTTTTTTATCAACATTTCTTTCTCTTTCTTCCTTTAAAAAGTATTTCTTCATTTCTTCATCAACATTGATGAAACTTGGTGTGTTTTCATATATTTATATGCAAATTTCACATATGCAAATAATTTACTAGCACAATGTGTAGCTAATGAAGTACAAAATGTTTAACATGCCTTTTGGGGAGGAAGTTTGTTTTCTAAACAGAGAATTTGTGGGGGTGCTGACACACCCTGTAAAGTTCGCGCTGCATGGCGCACGTGTCTCGCCCAAAAGCTGCATTTTAGGTTACAACTTCTGAGCAATAGGTGGCGTGTACGCGAGCGATGACCCCTGGCGGAAGGCAAGCCTTGGTGGCGGGTGAGAGTTGAGAGAGTTGAGCACAGACAGACGGACAGACAGACTAGAAGGACGGACAGAGAGAGAAAGACGGACAGACAGAAGAAGGACGGACAATCCGAGCAAACGTACAGATGAATGAACGCATGGACAGACGGACGGACGCATGGATGGACACACGGGTGGTCGGGTGGACAGGCTGACAAACGCTTTGCCCCACTCATCATCATCATTCACTCCGTGAATATGCTGCGATTTTTTTCTTTTTGGTTTGGAGGGACAGCACATTCGGGCATTTGCTCGCAATGTCGCCTTGTGCACACCGAGCACTCGCTCGCGCTTTGCAGTAGCTGAGGCAAGTGCACCTTGAGCGCGTGGCTGCCGCTTCGAGTTTCCACGGCAGCGGGGCAATCACGGAAGATGCATGCTAGTGCCGAAATAACAAAATCCGGGGTAAAATTCCTAAATTGTCAGTGGCGAAAAATGGTTAATCAAGGATGTTTCCCATCCTTGATAGATAGAAGTCGAAAATACATGTGCTTTTTTAAAGTAAAGGCTGGAAATAGAAAAACTTTGTAAAATCAAAAAATTCGTTATACAGAGGTTTGCTATATGCAGGTCTAACTGTATCTGATAATTCCTTATAAAGGTATATTCCTAACACTATAAATATTACAATACTGTTCTTCATTTACTTTGTTATAACCAATACTTCTTTATATCCTGGTTTGTTATATTGAGGCTTGAGTGTAGGAGTAAAGTAGGGATGTGCAAATATTCAGGCGCTTCCAAAATTACAATGCATATTATTAGATTATTGAAATTTGCTATGGCATGAATTCAGAATATTCAAATTTTTTAAGTATTTGAAAGGAATGACTATACTATGAATATTTGAGCACATATGTCAAAATTTTAAGATTGTTTCACTGCAGCGTGGGTAAGACATGCCAGGAAACCACCCAGAAAAAAAAAGAAGGTCCACACTGCAAACATAGCAAATTCTAAAATGTAACATACTTTACAGCATATAACTGCACCTTCCAAATTTAAAAATCTTGCCATTATTTAAAGTTGCTCCCACTTCACAATGAATCAAGAAAGTGACATTGCCACATGCCTACTTTCAATTCTTAAAGATATTGAGCAGGTAATTCGAGTAGTGCTGATATTTTTTGAACATGTAATACACTCGAACCTCATTATAACAAAGTTGCAACTTACACAAAAAAATCACAGCATATCCACGAAGTGGTGATGATGATGAGGATGTCCGTCTGTCCGCACCTACTGACTGAGTCATCAAACTAGGAAGTCACGAAGCACGACGAGCTAGGAGGGACAGACCCATGGCTTTAGCAGCTTCGCCCCTAAAATAAGTTTGTTATATGCGAAAATTCGTTATTCAGTTGAACCCCTTTACAAAAGGCATGCTCTGGGCAGCGATTCCCGTCTTTTATAAGTGATGTCTCCAATAAGAAAGGTACGACGTACGCATTTTCTTATCAACCTGTATTTTACTGTAGGCAAAATGGTGTCTCTTATACTCAATTGTCTTTTATATTGCCACACTCCTTACTACGTCGTGTTAATGCCCCCTTGCACTGTCAGTAATTCTCAGCACAAACTGCGGCTGCAGTGTTCGAGAAGCTTCGGGACTGTAGATCGTTTTGTTAAGATTATGCCTACTTAACAAACATTACAGATTATTCTGAAAGCTATGGGGCCGCTATTGATAATGCTAGAAAATTCAATGGCACGTGTATAGATGCTGACGCACTTCACCGCTTATCAGTTCATCGACAGCCAATGCTTTGTTCGCCGCTATCATTGCCAGTGTGTATCGCTGTAATCTGACGGTCAGTTTATTGGCCACAAGTACGGCCCAAATAAACAGTTTAACCTTCTACCTAGAGTCTGCTCCATTCGTTTACGTCACGACCTTGTGACACCTGATAGAGGTGCTGCTCATTCGTATACCAACCACCCCCGTCAAGCCACGAAGAAGGCAACGCTAAGGACAACCTTTATCATTGAACCAGTTGCAGGCAGTAGGGCTTACAGCCAGAACATGGGCTTTTCTCAGAAAACATCAGGCAAACCAAGATCATAGTTTTAACCGCAGGCACAGTGACCACTGCCACGCCACCTGCACCAATCGTGCTCCGGCAGCCCAAAGAGCCACCAACATTCTGCCAATCATTAGTGGAAAACCTGGAATGGTGGCTGGAGACGTACAACCAAGCTGGTACCCACGTACAAACAGCTGGTACCCCAACGAAAAACTGTGCCCCGTCTACTTTTACCAAAAAGATGCTGCGAAAACATGGTTCGAGAACCGGGAGTCCACGCAACGAAGCTCGGATATCTTTTGAATGACATTCCTCAGCACATTCATGAGCGTAGTCCACAAGGAACGTGCCACTATGATCTTAGAGACGCTTCTACAACTCTCTAATGGTAACCATCTACGTTGAAGAAATGACCCAGCTGTTCCGTCACGCTGACCACGCCGTGGCCGAAGAGAAAAAGCTCCGATTCCTAATGCAAGGTGTCAAGGAAGAGTTATTTAGGGGAGATGCTGGTCGAAAAATGAGAGTTTTTTTCAAAATTACCGATTTTTTATTTTCACCTGTTTTGATAAGATTAGTACCTCTACTGTTATGAAAAAAATAATAGAGACTGAAACTTAACTGGAAATGCTTTAAAATTGCATCTAGAGAGCACAAGGTGCCTGTTAAAAGGTCCAAAGTGTGCAGTGTTCAAGCACCTTGCCGCCAATAATGCGCCGCCGCTCGCCATTGTTGATCCCATGAGTCAGAGTCTAGCCTCACTCTTCAAATAACAACAGTTTCTCTCACTGATGCAGCGCAAGAAATAATAAAAAAAAGCACTCTTCTGCGCGTTTTTCCAGCGCCACGACTGGCTTATCACATGGTACGAATCAGGGACCGCCATTGGCTGCTGCGCGCTTGCATGTGCTGTGAAACTTATTTATGGGGTCCATGTCTTGTCGAGCAGCGCAGCTGAACAATGCTGTTCTCGTGTAATTATCTCCGTTATGAATGAAAAAAAGCATTGCTTGCAATTGAAAGCCGTTGTGCAGCGCGCTTTGTAGGAATAGGCTATAAGCAGCTGGTCCGATTTGCAGCAGTTGTTGGCTTGCAAAAGCCAACGCATCAAAATTCATTCACACCTGTCAGCCGGAAAGTTCGTGATGCGGCAATGGATGACGTCAGCGGCTATCTTGAAAGGTCAAAAGAGCTCGCAGTGACAGAACTTAGCAGGGACGACATTGCCATTATGTACGACGGTGTGGGGCACAAACATGGCTGCAAAATGGCATGACACTGGACTTAGTTTGGCTTTTGCAGTCCTGTTGAACTTCTTCCTAGCTTGCACTTGGCACAAGACTCTGCCAGATGGAGCGGAAGTTTGGCAAGCGTTTCATGGCCCTATCTGTGAGCGAAACGTCTGTGAGGAGTCGGCTCGAAAAAGCGAGGGACAAACTAATGGTGCTGGCGTATTTTAGTCGCACTGGTCACTACAAGAAGGATTGTTCTTTTTTGTGTGGAAATTTTATCTGATTTAATGATATCTTTCATTATGAAAAACTTAATTTTAACTTTAAGACTCTTTTTTCTCAAAACACAAATTTTGCAATTTTTTTCCATTGTGCCCCTCCTTTTTCGGGCACTTCTAGTGCTCGGATCTGCATGAAATTTTGCCCAAGTTTTTTTCAAGGTAATACAAATGCAATTATCTAAATTAAATTTCAATATTTTATTGTATAGTAAAAAAAAGTGTATGTATACCTTTACTAGGGTTGGTGAAATATGGACTTTTTACGTCTATTATTTTTCACGCATGTTACGTATTTTGTATGTGCTTCCTAATTAGTTATTTGCACTACACTTTATTTGAAGCATTGTGAACTATGAATGGCAAAAAATTACAGAAGTTTAGGAATGAAAAAAAGGGGGGGGGGGGGGCAAAAGGGTTAAGGTTTTTACTTTGTCATGTTGCAGAGCTAAAAGTGTGCAACTTGCAAAAAAACTAATTATATACTTGAAATCAGCATAAAAAGTTCCACAACCAGCTCAAGTTTCGTTGCTCTAGGGTGAATATTAAAAAAAAAGTGTCTTCAAGTAGCATCTCCTTTTAAAGGGCTTGTGTGCAACCCGCCCAAGACTGTCAAAGCATTCCCCACCAAGCCCACGAAAATCTAGTATGCACTTGAAATGCGCACAGCAACGCCACTTTTCCACAGCCGACTACCCCGAGGATCATGGCCTCAGCAGCGACGACCTGCACGAGACAATCCGAGCGATCATGCGGAAGGAGCTGAGCAAGCTGTTACTTTTGGCCACGACGCAAGAAAGAGAGGAGGGGAAACGCTGGGGGGCACCAGCAGGGGCGCACGCCGCGATAATGTCACCCTGAGTGAGTAGGTCGGAGAACGTGCGCGCAGCGATCTCTGTGGCGACGCACAGAACTATTCGTTTTCCATTGCGGGAGGAGAGTGCGTGCGCCCGCTGTTTCCGACACACCCGAGTGTCGCCTGTTATATCTGCCTTTCACCAACTCCACTATGCTACTAGATGCAGCTATGACAGTTTTCCTCAGTGCGACTTGCCAAAACAAAATTAAGCAAGTAGAATCTCTTAGAGCCAGCATTTTTAATTATATATGTTGTATCAAATGCTCTTCGGACAAAGAAATGAATAGAAGTGTTAGAAATTAAAAAAAAAGATTATCTGTAATCGTAGCAAGGCGCGTGCCTAAAATCACTCGTGCAGCTTGAGGATAGATTTCGTATGTTCTTCGATATAACAGTGCCATACAGAACTACTGCACGCGAAAGAAAGACAGACATCGATGAAGCAGGTTTGAGCAGACGGCAACCGATTTGAACAGAAGAGCAGACTGCCTCGAGCTGTGAATCAATTCTGCGTAAAAAAAAAAAAAAGTTCGACCTTTCAACCTCTGTCTGACCAAGAAATGCAGCAAGAATGGGCAAGGGCTATATGAAGAGAAGATGGACAATGAAAGGGAAGCAACTGCGTCTAGGAAAATTATTTGCGCAGTGGAACGGTCCGCAGGCACCACACTACGCTAAGTTTAAAATTCAAGACATCCCTGACCAGCCAAAGATGCGACTCGCTGAAGTGGCACCTAAAGCTTTTGAGGAAATGTTATACTAACTCGTGCTCAGAAATGAAGCCAAGAGCTGGCCGGAATATTTCTGAAATTACTGATAAAAGCAGCGCCAAATGAGCGAAGGTAGATGCCACTCGTCACGAGCCAGAAGTCTTCGGCGAATATTTTACCAGCTTCTAAATTTCCAGGTAAGCTACATCACAAAAAAAAAGCGTGGTTCTCACCATTACTCATTTGGTTGTTTTAGCTTGACATGAACGATTGCTTCTCAGGGAGTTCTAACATAAAACAAGCTTTGGAAGAGAAGAGACACACGAGAAAAATATTTTTCCTGTTTGTTTCTAATTTAAACATTTTTCTTTCATATGAAAAGCTCCCTCTATGTTTTTATTTTTTTTATTAGTTAGCACATAGTGTATGCCATGTTCTCACAAATAATATTTCTACCTTCGCATGCAAAGGTGAAAGAATGAAAGCGAATCTGTTTAGGGCTTGTGGACAGCTTCGTGAAACTATCGCGGTATGGTCTTTCTCCCAAGGCACTCTTGGCTAGCTTAGGCAAAACTCGTCGTAACGATTTACCATCTCGTTTAGCGAGTGTATCTGAGCTATGCACTAATGCACTGAGTGACGAGAGTAAGCGTGCAAGCAGATGACAAAAACGGGCTCCACACTTCTCGCGTCTGCGGCTCCGGCGCGGCAGTTCGGCCACGGTTCTGTAAGTGGTACTGTCAAGACGTTTGCCGCCACTCTGGGGGGTGACACAATCGCGGTGCGAAAGGAGTCGAGTTGTCCCTCCTGTCTATTCTTCCTTCGTGCCTTCAACACAGCCTCAAGTGGATTCAATAGCCGACATTGTCCGCAAGGAAGTTCGGCAATCTCTTGAAATTCCCGAAGCGCCGCAGACTGAGCCGGAAGCTATGAGCTACGCCGATGCAGTCCACCGTGATGCTCCTCAAAGGCCGCGTCCGGACGCTGTCCAATCCGTCGCCAAACTCTGCTGCCACCACCACCACTGATGCCTTACTGCCCAACAACCGTTCACCGACACCAGGCCACTACATGTCACTGCAAGTATGCCAGCCCTACTCGGGGCCATTCTCTGAGCCCATATTAGGAAAACTAGGGGCAGCAACCGATGGACGTGCGGTTGCTGTACGACGACCTACCGAAGATCCTCCGCCAATGCAGCAACAGAATCGAAAGAACCTGCCACAAGACAAAAAGGGGCCTTCACATCGTAACTTTGCAGCCCGATAAAGACCTCACGACGCAAAGTGGAAAACAGCGGAACAAACCAACCTAGCCGTGATCCAACGCCATGACCTAACTGCAACACAAGGTGTCGAACTAGCGACCTCGAAATTCTCATCGACGGCCACAACGTCAAGGCTCTTGTCGATACTGGAGCTGACTATTGTGCGTCTTACACAAATTAAATTTGTTATGGTATCAAAAAATTCGTTATACAGTTGAACCCCTTTATTACAGGCATGCTACGGGCAGCAATTCCTGTCTTTTATATGAGATGTCCCTCATAAGCAGGTATGCATTTTCTTATCAACCTGTATTTTATTGTAGGCAAACTGATGTCTTTTAAAAAGTCGAACCCCGAACCCCGCTACACTCCGCTTCAACAAAATTTCCACTACAACGAAAAACTCATAGTTCCCCATCAGCAGCCCATAAGAGTTAATGCATAGATATTGTCAGCACAACGAACACTTTTTCGTCTGCCGTCCCACCTTCAACGAAATTGCATGATGCAATTCGAGGCTCAGATACTTCTTGCTCTACAGTAAACACAATGCTTAACATTTTGAAGCATTTTTTGACTGAAAATACGCCGACGAAGTCTAAAACACGCGTTGGCACCACCAGAAACCGCCGCTGCTCAGCAAGCATGGGCGACGCTATTGCTCTATAGCAATGGCAATGAGACTGCCTTGCTTTTGCCACTGACTTGCTTTTGAGCCGCAGACGATCCGAAGGTGAAACTCAGTCAAGGTCGCCCAGTTCATGGTTTCCTTCACGTAGCTGCTGGGTGCAACTGCAGAACGATGCCTTTTCCGATGCCAATGCTTATCATTTTGTTCGTGCTTGGCCAGTGCGGTAACTAATCAGAGCAGCCAATCGTCCACATTATCAACAAAATCAGCTAGCAGCGAGTAATGACTGATAAGAATGGTATAAAATAAGGCATAAGTCACCGCTCCACAATACCCTGTTTCCATCTCGACGTTGTCAGATACACTTTGACAGCCGACAGCTGCTGGTGCTAACGTGTTAATACAACTATTTGGTTCGTTCACGAAAATGGTTGTAGGCCTTGTTTAAGTGTGCTTTTCACCATGGCCTCGCTATGCATGAGTAAGTATCGCGTCGACATGCTGCTGGGAAAGAATAGGAAGCAGCGGAAACTTTTTGAATTTTGAGAGTAAACGTTTCCTTGTTTTGCTAGCTCAGATCATTTACATTTATTCGATTTCACTACAAAAAATTTTCGCTTCAACAAAATTTTCTACGCACCCCGCCAGTTCCGTTGTAGCAGGGTTTGAATGTATACCCATTTGTATCTTTTATCAGTGTCTCGCATAAAGGCGTTCAACTGTAGACTATTTTTTTACTTTGTTATAACTGATAATTCGTTATACCCGTATTCATTATATCAAAGTTTGGGTGTATATACTATTTAGGAAGGTTATTCTATTAGAAATTAGCCAACGAAATCTCCATTCACTACGAAGTCTCTTCAAACCTCAGATTTACTATATGCCCAACTCTAGTTACACCAATTGCACTGCAAAATGTGCACTTTGACAGCAGCATGTGAATAGATTCTCCCAAAACATTGACAGCCGAGCCTGCAATGGGAGTGAAACATATTGACCATACTCACGCGAGTTTTCGGAACGCCTCGGGATCGGTGCGACTCGACTGCTCAAGCAGCTGGTTAGTGCGCTGTTGCCAGCGCTGCACCTCTGTCCGCAGGAATCCCACGTCCGCTTGCAGGGCCTCTGCCTGGGCGACACGGGTGCGTACCTCGTCGCGGAGGGGTCCCAGCTCCCTCTCGAGCTGTGCGCACCGCTCCTCCAACTGCTGCTTGCTGTCCACCAACTCCGTGCGCTCGTCTCGCAGCGCACGGTTGCTCTCCGTCAGCAGCTGCACCATCTCGACCTTGCGAAGGAGCTCCGCATGCTGTGCGTCACTCGTGGCACGGGCCTGCATGCGCATGCTGTTGTGTTAGAGCGGACAAACAGCGAGCGACACAAATCTCTCACCAAGAGCAGGAAATGTAAAAGATGAGGCAACCAGAGAGTTAAAACAGCTAGCAACATCTGGCGCCAGGCAAGGAAATTGCTGCCTGCTGAACACATACACACGACGACACAGATCCGTATTACAGGGATGGAAGCGGGCTTGAGTCTTTTGGAGCAGCTCAGGAAGCAGGAAATATGCTGCATTAGAGCAGCTTTGCTGTAAAAAGGGAGTTGTGGAGCAGCCCCAAAAGGCATCTTTTGGAGCAATGAAATTTAGTTTTGACACAATAATGAGATCTAATAGATAATAATGCCAAGGAATGTATAGGAGAAGTTATTAGAGCCAAATGTAATGTAAATGTGAAGTAAGAAAAGTGGGTGATAAGATAGCTTGCCGTGAGCAGGAACCGAACCTGTGACCTTCGAATAACACGTTCAGTGCTCTACCACTGAGCTACCACGGCGGCTATCACCCCAGCCACTTTATTGGGTATATATGTGAATTGAAACGTGGGAGTGTTTCCTGTAGCCAAGCGGCGAGTGTCGAGTGAAGGCGACTGAACCTTTTATTTGACTTAACTTAAACCCAGAAAACTTAACGTGACTTTAAAAACTATACAAGCTACAGACGGATAGCAGAAAACATACGAGCATCGATAATCGATAATCTGCCAAGCAGTGAAGCGCGTCGGCAAACCATCGAAGATTCCAGCATTATCGCTAGCGGCTGCGTAAGTTCCAGAACCAACAAATGCATGCGTTGTGCCTGTACTCTCAACAGGAAATTAGCTAGATGGTTCCCAGTCATACGGGCACGGTTCGTGCAAGGCAGTGTTACACATATAATGGGACAGTAACAAAAACGGAAAGAAAGGAGCGCCTGCAGCATTACCATGGCAAAATCAAAACTTGTTCCTACAGTCAAACACAGTTATATCGAAACCACATATATCGAATTTTTGGGTATATCAAACTCGTAAGTTATCCCCTTGAAATTCCTTTGTAAAAGTATAGAAAATTGCATTTATATCGAATGGTATTTTTACCCTTCTTCGGGAATATTGAACGCCGCGCGAGCTGGAAGGTGTGCTTCGACAGTCGCCGCGCGCTGCGATCTCCGCAGCAGCGCTGCTTCGCCAGCAACTTGGAAGGCGCGCTTTAGCACTCGCACGGTCGGCGACCTCTGCGCTGCCCACGCCTCCGTCAAAACCCAAAACGCTCGAGAAAAAGGTAAGGGTGAGAGGGCTCGGACTGCGCAATCTACACCTAGCGAAATAGCTTTTTTTTATTTTCTGTTTCTCTCTCTCATGTTTTCTTCGCCTACTTGTTTACTAACGAAGGAGCCGACGTCCTCTTACTTTCGCCTTTTCTTTTATTTTTTTTTGTTGCTGTTTTCCGAGGTTCGATCAGCCAACCACAGCTCGCGCCTTTTGCTGTTGCCCTCGCAGGTGGCCATCGCCTCGCCAGCGCTTTGCTTCTGTTGTCGCCTCACCTACCTACCATTGCTTGTATAGCCTTTCTCTTTTGCGTGCGTGGTGTGCAAAGTCGCTGCGGATTCCTTAAATTGTTGACTTCTCGTGGTGTAGCTATGACCAGCGCCAAGAAGCACAAGACCCTTCACTTTGCAACCAAGTTGAAGGCTATTCAGCGTGTTGAGGCAGGCGAGAAATGTTCTACCGTTGCGGACGACTTCGGGATACCACAGAGCGCTCCGAGTACCTTGTTGAAGAACAATGCAGATATCAATGCAAAAGCGGCGGAGCAGCGAACGCCAGGAGCCTGTCATGTGCGCGCTTCTGTCCACAGGAATGTAGAAAAGGCACTCTATGTCTAGTTTTTAGAAGTGCACGTGAAGAATATTCCGGTGAATGGTGTGATGCAGATCACCAAAGCCAAATGGTTTGCCGCTGCCCTCAGTGAAATAACTTCGCCGACATCACCGGGTGGCTTCACCGATTTAAGCAGTGCTACTACATTGTTGGGAAAACGAACTCTGGCGAGAGCGAAGCTGTCAACAGCCAGGACATCCAGCTGTGGATGACGAAGGAGTGACCCGAAATCGCTGCAAAGTTTTCTCTCGCAGAGATCTTCAATGCCTGGCGAGACGAGCAGACGGACACAATGGTCAACTGCTTCCGCAAAGCAAGCTGCGAGCGGCGTAACTCGTGAAAACCAGTGAAGACAATGGCGATGAACGCATAGAAGACGCGTTTTGCGAGTTGTCATCCCCCTTCTCGGCAGCAGTTCCACATGAAGTGCCTGCGGACGACTTCGTGGAAGCAGACTGCAAAATCCAGGCCGACAGGCTTATGTGACGAGATGGATCGTCTGGACAAGACGCTGGCTACACGTGCGTACTCCACCGTTGAAGTGATGGCAGCGTTCAGCATCATTCGTCATTTTATCGGCGACATGAAGGGAATCGGACTGTCGAACCTGGACAGCCTTCATAAAAAAAAACGAAGAAGCAGGCCCAGATAACCGATTTTTTTCACGTAAATAAATCATTCTGTTGAGGCTTATGTGCGGAATCAGTTGTCATTCTTGAATGTGCCTATTGTAGGTGATGATCCGCTACGAGTAAGCTCTTGGGGACTCTATTTTTTTTTATATTGAATTTTTCATATATCGAACTGATTCGTGATCCACTTTGAGTTTGTTATATCCATGTTTGACTGTATTGCATTCATCGCTTTGCCGGGGAGAGATTTTTTTTTTATGATTCGACAATGCAGCGTGTTTTTCGTAACATCATCGCCATCTAACAGCTTCACTGTTAAAAGATAAACTCGAATAATGAAGTCTGCTCCCAAACGCCACCTTAAGCGGGCAAGCTGGTCTTTGGGACCAAAAAGTGACAAAAAAATTCATTTTTTAAAATTAACATATTTGGTTTCTGCAAGTCTATCTCTCTGCTGCAAATTTTCACACACCAGGAAGTGGTGATAATTTTTTTGTGATTTCATTCTAACTGTCCAGATTCTTGGTGCTGTTAACATGCAGAACCTGCAAAAAAATGGGGAACCGACTTTGAGGCTTCTTTATAATTGGCCGGCAACTGTGTTAGAAGCTCGGCTATGAGTTTATGAGCACCTTTATGAGGATTGCTAAACATGCACACCGTGATTGTTGGTTTTTGAAGAAGCTGTGTGTTTTCAGTTTTTTTCCATTTTTTTTTTTTTTTCAAAAAAGTAAATTTACAACTGTTCAATTTTGAGGCCTCAATATCTCTACAGCTAGGGCAGGTACAACAATAATTCTTTTTGTAATGGAAACCTGTATCTGTGTAGAATGGAAGAATGGGACCAGAATTCAGAGTACAAGCCTTTTTAATTAATTACTCATCAAAATTGTAATACAGTTCCAAGTGCTTTTCAAAATCAATAGTTCATTTTGCTGTGAAATAACCAAGAAAGGCCTAAAAACGAAAAACTCTTGCATACTTTTACTTTATAGTCATTACTCTATATTGGCATATTTCAAATATCACTTTTAATTAAGCACTTTTCATTCTATGGTGGCCTCAAACAATAGGTGATGAACTTAAGTTATCTCAGGAACCAGATGAGTTACAGGAAAACTAATTAAATATTTAAAAACAGCAGAAAAATCTACATAATCTTGTGCAGTTTGATCAAGATCACTGAAGAAATAAACAAAAAATGTCCAAGACCAGTCTTCCCTATAACAAGGCTCGCTCATTTTGTTCACGTGGCGCAAGATTCACACATGGCGTTGACTAGCACCACGCATGAATCGCAATACGACGTGATTGAACTACACAGGATGTGGTTGCAGCTGCGTCCTATGTTTTGCTCAGTCAGTGATAAGACTCAGCTGAATTTCGCGTCGCACGCTAATTGCTGTTTAGACGCAGCTTCGCACAGCGGGTCAGATGGGTGAAAAGTGGCACAATTGGCACAGCACTTGCACCCCTGGTGCTATATAAATTGGTGCCATTTGGAATGCCAAGAGAAGTGTAACTGTAAGGGCTTGTACTCTTTGTTAGACACAATATTAATGAATACTAGCAGACAACTAGTGATCATTCAGAGAACAGTGCACAGCTTTCATTCAGACGCAATCAGTGAGGGTGGATGCGGGTACGTTCAGCAGCGTTTGTTCGTGTTTCACTCAGTGATGCTACTGAGATCTTCTCATTTGGAGATATTTTTGGAGCAGCAATACTTTCATTTTGGAGCATGTTAAAGCAGGAAATTTTCTATTTTGGAGCACTTTAGAAGAGAAAATTTTGCATTTGGGAGCACTCTGGAGCAGCTAATTTCATATTCTGGAGTACACTGTAGAAGCAAATTGCATTTACGTTCAAGGAGATGAATAATTAAGTTTGGGCTCATGTGAAAAGCTAGAAATATTCCGACTCATTGCAAATCTCATGGAGCCAATCATTTTAAGAACACTCCTTATTTAGGTTGACAGTGCAAAAATAATGGCGTCGTGCCGTAGAGCATTCTGGAAAAACTTGTTCAGTGATTAATTTCGTAGCAAATGAACAGAACACTTGTTCAATAAAATTGTACTTTATGAAAGAACATTCTAAATACACCTATGTGATTACGTGCAGACATGGTAGACAAATGCTGCGATGCAGAACAATGCCTCAACGCTAAACACTCACACTGTCCCAAATGTATTCCTCTAAGATGACTCCAGAGAGAGAGAGAAGTTGTTTTTCTTCACAATCCATCATGCTGCTAGGCGTAACATGACATAATTTAGCTAGCCCAGGGGTGGAACTAAGTACTATCGGCATCAGATGAAACCTGAACAACGGCAACCCTTGTGGACAGTGTAGTGGGCACCGACCAGTTATCAACGTTGACAGGCACACGCATACTGCTCGGCAGCTCTGCGCATATACAGCGCCTGTCCGCGGTGATAGCTGGACGGCATGCACTATACCATCGCAAAGGCTTCCTGCTGTTCGGGTTTCATTTGACG